GGTCTTTTTGGGTTTGGGCCTGTGCAGGTCTGGGCAGCAGAGGCCGTGGGTCGTGCCCTGGCCTTGCAGAAACGTTCCCAGGCCTGGGACTTCGGGATCCTCAGTTCCCTGGCTCTCCGCCAGGGGCGCTTTGCTCGTTCCCGTTTCCGCGCTGGTGAGCTCAGGGGGCCGGACCTCTGTCCCGGCAGCCCAGGGTCCCCGCCGCCACCGCTGTCTCCGCGGCTGATGCCTCCAGAGAGAGCAAGTTCTGCTGTTTCCAGACCCGCGCGCATCCCGGCCTCTCCAGCGGCTGTCCGTCCAGCGTGGCTCCTCCGTCCTCTGCGGTCGGTTCCATCCCCCTGCAGGCCCCCCAGACTTTCAAATCCGAAGGTCCCCAGGTATATCAGAGGGCCAGCTGTGTTTGCAAATCCCCACCAAGACTTCCTATCTCCTCCCGTGCTCCAGTCTCCCCACTCCAACGTTGTGGTGGGAGGAGGGAGTGCGGAGTCCTTAAGCCACCAGGCCTAAAGGCTGGGCGGGATTCCAGTCCCCTGCGACCTTCCGCGAGCCTCTGGGGAGCCTTGACGGGCAGACGCCTGTCTTTCACCCATCTCGGGAAAGGAGGACTTTGGCGAGGCCTGGGCACCTGGCCTGCATTGGCAGGAGTAGAGTTACAGCAGCTGATCTAAGGAACAGGTGTGGACTCTGAGTTACAGCTGCTGCTGAGCACATCTGTACGGAGGAGGAGGAGGAGGCAGCAGCCCCAGCTTGGCACAGCAGTCACCATCAGACCCCCGGAGGTGGGGGAAGGGTTTCTAAGGGGCCCCGGAGCCGGAGAAGCCTGGGAAACAGGGAGCAGCCTTCACCCTGCACTTTTCTCCTGGAAATCCCACAGCAGACCCGACAAGGTTTCCCCCGGGCAGCCTGGGAGTAGGAGGGCTGGCTTCTCTTCCAGCAGGCTCCCCAACTGTTGGCTGCAGCCAGCTTCTCTTTTCTCCAGGCCAACAACTCAGGCCTTTCCCTGGATGGAACTCAAAAGAGTCCTAGCTCTCCCAAGATTAGGAGGGCAGTTCCTGAAAGAATGGCTCTTTCGGTGCGCAAATGATTCTTAGCATTTCAGAGCCTCAACCTACTGAATCCGTGAGGGGAGAAGGGGACATTTTGGGTCTCCCAGGTTGAACCAGGCACAGTGTCCAGTCCTTTACCTGCATCATCTCATCAAATCCTCCCAGCACAGTGACATAGGCATTTTCAGGGTCCTCTGTTTCATAGGGGAGAAACCAAGGTGACACTTGCACACTGAGTGTAGGGGTAGAGAGACATAAACAAAAACCCAGGGCAAAGCACACGGATGACTAACATTGTAAAGTCACATGCGTATCCGTGGCTGAGGATTGTAAGATCATCACATGTATCCTGTGCTTGGGGAAAAAAAAAGTACCCTACTGTATCCTTTATGAAAGTGTTACTCACATTTACTGAATGCTGACTTTGTCCCCTCACCAGAAATAAAGGCGAAGACCCTGGCTGGCTTAGCCCACACCAATCCACAAAACAGTTCGTCCCTGTAAGTATGGGCACCTCTACTCACCGGGCACCCTGGGTGGGATGCTCCCCATCTTGCAGCACCTCTGAGCTGCCAAGATAGTTTCTCTGTATTTGCCACACTTTAAATAGAGCTTTCGCCTCGAGCCATACCTGCCTTGACTTCCCCTTTCTCCCTAAGAGCCCCACTTCTTCATTCTTTGCTGGAGTTATAGGCAAAGACCCGAAGAGGGGTGGAGGGTCATTACAGGAGACCCCCCCAGAAGCAACATTAGGGTGCAGGTATGTGGGACTTGATTGCAGCCCTAACAACAAAGTTGGGTGCTCTCTAGTGAGCCTCACTGCCTTCCTGGTAGGTCCAGCATCTGCGTACTACCTTTATCTCCTGTAGAGGGCTGTGCCTGCCCTTCCTGCCACCTCCATCTCTGTTCACCTCTCTAGTCTATCTTCAGCCTCCTTTGATGAGTCACAGCTCTCATCACTCTCTTCCACCCACCAAAATGGACATCACGGCCTCAAATCTTCATGGAGTTCATACCCACTCCCACCCAACCATCTCTGGGCTCCTACACGGAGTACTCCCTTCCCTGTCCACGCCTGCTCCCTGTTCAGGCCACCTATCATGGCCTGAACCTCTTCGGTGTCTCCCCTTCATCCCCCATGCTTCTTTTTCAGTGGTTTGTTGTTGTTGTTGTTGTTGTTATTGTTTGAGATAAGGGTCTCCATATGTAGTCCCAGCTGGGCTGGAATTTGCAATCCTTCAGCCTCAGCTTTATGAGTGCTGAGATTATAGCTATGCACATCATGCCCAGCCACTTCTTAGTGTTTTATGAATATTTATTTAGGGCTGGGGATTTAGCTCATTTAGCCACCTGCCTCAAAAGTGCAAGGTCCTCAGTTCGATCCACAAGTACCA